TCAATCTCCCGCGGAATGAGGTCAGACAAAAATCCTTCGGTTGTACTGTTTAAAGTGATATGTCGTTTTACTCATAAAAACAACCAAGCAATATACCGATTTGCACTTTCGCCGAAATTTTCCAAAAGGAAATCCCAACAAGGTTTTCGTTTACCTATCTATTGCAATCTCATCTCGTCTCCAAGATAAACAGTAATTGATTCCTTATTCGGATGAGTAAAAAAAAACTCACAAACGCCTAACAGGTCTACCGACAGTTCTCTCTCTCACACACACACACGCACGCATTCGGTTTCGACCAAACCCTGAAGATTTTCGCATCTAACTAACAAATCAGAACAATCCAGTTTCTTTAAAACTACTGATATCAAAAAGGCTACGACAACCGCAAGTCCCGATCACTCTGGTCTGTTTGAGCATTGTCCTGTATGCGTGGAAAACGTTGAGACCGGTTTACGACCCCATATTCCCAAAGAATCTAACAAAGAAAATACGCTTTAATTATTGTTTCAGAAGGAACCCTATCACCTCGGTTTTACAACCATTAACTATGCAATTTCCTGCGCCGCTTTGGTTGCTGGCTTTTAGTGCCCCATTTGGATAAAAGAGCGCAAAGAAGATTGGAAAATTGAAAGCAAATTCAAGCGGAAGATAGAGAATTCACATAGAATGGTGTTAGGGGAATAATGAGTGGATGCACGAGCGCCACTGTTTGCGACATCCAGCCATATCACTCAGTGTATCGAACCATCGGTGACCATCATCCCGAGGTCCTCAGCCAGGGAGTCTAACGAGGCCTATGTGATCTAGTTTCCTCGTTAGGATTCCCAGACCTTAACACTGGGTCTTCGTTTGACCACCCTTGACCTTTTTCCAACCGCCACCTGCCTCGGCAAACATCACTCGCCGTGGCAACGTGGTGACATGTGTAAAACATGCCTCAACCAACGTAATCTATGGAGGTCGATCACTTGCTCTAGTGGAAGACCGCGATCACCTCAAACTCTACGCCTAACCTCAGCATTGCTCGTCCGGCTGCCCCACCAGATTTGTGCAATGCGACGCAGAAAACGGTGTTCGAACATCGACAACCTATTTTTATCCTGTTCCCGTAGTGGCCAAGTCTCTACACCGTAGAGGAGTACTGGTCGAGCTGCTGCAGCATATACTCGACCCCTCACAGACAGCCGGATGTCACGACAGCACCACAAATGTCTGAAGTTGGCAAATGCCAACCGAGCCTTCTGTATACGCGCCGATATTTCACCTGTGATGCGTCCGCCAGGTAAGTTATAGCTGCCCAGAAAACTTAGTAGCACAATATCGTCTGCGTACTCTAGATCAGACAGTCTGCCACCTGGGAGTAACTAAATTTCGCTATCCTCGCACGAGGATAGGTCTGTTTTAGTGTTGAATGGCAACTGTTTGATTGGTCGCTTCCCCCTTCTTGAAAATTGTATCATTATAAATTCAATAGATGAGAAAAGAAAAACGCCGGATAGCTTACAGTCGCTCGCTCTCCACAGGCATAGACTGGAAAATAAACACGCGCTAGACCCAGCCGTAGCAACATCCGATCACAATCAAAAATGAGTCAGATAAATTCGCCCAGGTTTCAAAATACCTCGGTTCTCCGACACAAAACGATGACCAAGTCGAAGATTAAATCAAGATGAGCATCGATACGGCTAGGAGTGATTTCCAACAACTTCGCCAAACACTGTATACGCAAATAAATCAGCCCTCATAAGAATACGTAAATCTACCCAACTGCCTGGACCTGGACGACAACTGAGATATAGCCAATAGGAGCCCAAGACCTCATAAAACTCACTGGTTCTGATCACTGGTGTCCGTAGTACATCCCAAAAGTAAAGCATTCCAACCGATTATCTAAAGAAGTTCACCGGCACAGTGGTTCTCTCAAAGGGTGTTGTACGTTCTTGTGGCAGTATCATACCCATTGTTTCGGTCACGTTCTTCGATGTTCCACTGTAGGTCTCTCGCCCCCCTCTTCCCCATCGTGCTCGGGATGACGTCGTTTGGATGGTCTATACTTGAATCACCATACTCAAAGAAAATATAGAGCGCCTGGGTCCGAAAGCCTTCTATGACCTCCGAAGCTACAAAAAGAACTGGCTTTCACTGAGTGCCGACTATGCCACTGGATGAGGTGCACGGCAAGCCATCGACAGGGACATCAATGAAGTCGACGCATCCTCATGTAAGAATTAGTGGCATAAAAGTAAAATTAAAAAAGTAATTGAAAAGTTCCTCAATGGAAAGCTAGACCTAATGTCCATATCTCTCTCCACGTACCAGAACGGTTTCTCCGTCACTGTGCCTTCATATCAAGACCAAGAGCGGCTAATACACAACGGTGCTTTGAATGTTCATTCAACTAACCCTGCGACTGATATTATGTCCAAATAAGTCAACCAATCGATGTCAACTCGGAGGCAATGGGATTAGTGATCTGGAAGCAAGCGATTTTGTTTGTGTCGTATTCTGGGATACGCTACAAGTCCAGAAGACCAATAGAAACTGGTGCGATTCACCTTGAAGTTGATTTGTTTTAAAACAATCAAGAGATCCGCTCCTGATAGTACTCGCATACTGGACATCCGTGTCCCTCCATCGACCCCCCATCGATCTTCCTCGACGGTGTGTTTGTGCTTTACCCCTTAAGTTACGCTGGGTAAAAATTACAATCGACTGATACATGCACATGTCCACTCACAGGACTGATAATTGTCAAGTGGACTCACACGACAAACATGTGTTCCGCAAGCTTACGGCTGGACGAGTATGACAATCGGGNAGAAGATGAATATGATGAGTCAAACACTTGGAGGACATTTGAATCCTAAGTCAGGTTTGGACCAGCATTTATAAAAAAAAAGTAACTTGAGCGTGGGTGTACCCGAACAGCATGGAGTGCTCCCGTGGTCATGAAAACCAATGTACTTTTAGTCAGACTGATTCAAGGCAGAGTCACATCACAGTCCGAGTTCGATGTCTGACCTTGAACAAATTACGTTTGTGTGAGCAACAGCCAATGTGCTTCATGTGTGCCAAACCTCGAGCAATTCAACAAAATTCAACTATCGATTATCGGGAAAAACCGGCCTCATAAATTGCCCATGTTGGGGTCCAGGCGAATGCACAGATAAGAAAATAAAAAACGTCGATTATATCGCCCGACTCTATAGTGCATAGATATAAAGTAGCACAGATTTACCTTATGTTCAGTTTTAAATCTTCTTAACGGGTAAAGTCTGATCTTACATCCTGCCTTGGCCTGGGTTTCCGCCCACAAACACAGATTACTTTGTTATTGTCCCGTGAATGAAATAAATGATGAAGAATACATGCCCGTGTTATTCTCAATTGATTTGCCACCTGTCTTCATTCATTATACTATCTTAAATTTGTTAAATTTGTTTGGTTTCTTTGATGCGATGACAGCTTTGGAGTCGATTTGTTGCAGATCGGCGGAGTAGAACCGAGGTTGACCTGAAACCCATGGAAAATCACATAGTCGATCGGTAAGATGATACTGCTGACAAGCGAAAGTCTTCTGTCGGTGAACGGGTAAGGCCATGGAAGTGTTTTCTGCTGATTTCGTACTTCTCTTTCCGGGGCGCTATGCACTCTCGATTTCGATCAGTGTCGTAAATTCTTTTCTCTTTTTTTGTTTTTACATTCCTTTATTGAGTATACAACCATACCGTTTTCAGGAATGGGGAAGCGGCCAATCGAGGGTCTGCTATACAGCAAAATATGCAGAAAGTCAGGCGGTTGTGGTGGGATTCGAAAACACATCCTCTCGAGTGATAATTTGGTAACGTTACCACCGGGCCACCACCGCAAGGCGAGCACCACAGTAAGCTACTCATTTGGTTTGGGACCAGAATCGAACGAAGTCAAAGGTGACCTCCCTCTGTATGATCATATATGGAGTTTTGAAACACGTTGATCATGTGGGTGACGATGAGTGCGTATCTGTCCTACGGCGTCACTGTGACTGTTTCTAGTTTTGCGACTGGCGTGCGTACATATTTTTGAGATTCCAGTTCCGTTGTAACTCACAACGGTCAATATCACGTTTCCGTAGTTTGCACACACCCGCACTCACTCAGCAATTCTGTTTTCAATTAAGGTTTGTGCTGTTATGCGAATTTTGTGACCAACATGCTTTTACCAAGTATGTACGTCACCGACCTCAGTTACAGGCATGTACTGCAAGATGTGAATAGCGCTACCTATTGAAAACGTGTCCGTGAACTGAAAATAAATGCCAAGGTAAGAAAGCTGCTCTCACTGGTCAGCACATTAACCAAATCGACAGCTCATTGTAGAAACGTGGGATTATATGCAACAGTCGGGCGTTCCCTAGCCTGAACAAAATGGGGATATGTTTCGATCAGGCCTTGGAATGAGTTAGCGGTCACGTTTATAAATCAATTAATGAGCAGATTGAACAATAAGGTCGAAATACCCCGTATTATTGTGAATGTGCTACTTTGGTTGCTATTAGGGAATGTACACCAACTTCAAGTTTCGCTCTGAATTTTACTTACGCAAAACCGGGACATTTTGAACCGCATTCGTGTGAAAAAAACTGTAGACGACTGAGGCAATATGATGCATTTCTTTAGGCTCCGGGGGATACATGTAGCGGGAAACTTGTAAAAAAGACACGACGACCTGCACGAAGTTTATCGATACACTTCTGCTAAAAGGCATTCATTCTTCATAAGTTTTGGTTAGTCGTCTGGACAAAACGATGTGTGTGAAACCGTATTCCGCCAAAAATTTCACAAACAAATATTAAATAAAGTGGTTGACTATTTAGAATCTAAGGATCCAGTTTTTCAGACACCCTTACTGTAGACCAATCAATCAAACATGGAAATGAAGGCTCTGAGACGAACGTAATTCTGGAACGACTCAAACAATGTGGATCAACTTAGAAATGAACACACACACACACTTACCCAATTGTGGTGATAGTGATAATCGGGTCAATGGATGTGGTCTCCGTTGTGACACAAAGTCCGGATCACGAGCCAGCATAGACCGTGGCTCTTCATAGTCCTGATTGATGGATCCCAAATCACCGCCCACTCGGGTTCTATGTGTGCCTTTCGGGGGCAAGGGTGGTTCGGTGAGCCGAGCAGATGGATTCCTTGCCGGAACGGGGGCTTTGATGATTGGGGGAGCACTGTGCAAAGAGAAAAAGAATTACGAAAAAAAATTATTCGGAACAGCTGAGAGTCGAAGATTTGGAAGAGTGCGCACACGTCAATGCAGTGGAAGTATAGAACGTCCTAATCACATAGCTGGGAAATTATCGCACAGCATAGGGAAGAACCAAGTGAGTCGCTAAAAAAGAAAGAGAGGGATTTATTTAGGTTCGATGAAAACAAGATTAGGCTCAGAAAGGTTCAACCTCAAATCGAGTCAAGAATTATTTACCTGACAACAACCACCGCCATTTTATTAAATTCCATCTGAATGTTCTGATCAGCAAAATAGTACACACTAGTATACCCCGGTTGGTGCATGGTTTTGGCTGGTGGTTAAGCAGTCTTAACCTTCCTCATTGGTTTGTTTCAGGTTCGAGGTTCAAACCCTGCCCTCTCCCCTTAAAATCTATGACAGTTGGCTTTCCTCTCATTCATTTCTACACCATGCCAGCGGTGATTGGGGCCTCGTGCAAGTCCGTTAATCCAGGAACACAACTGACTCGGCCCAGCGGTTTTTATAAAAGAAAAGCGGATTATCGTGCTTATGAGGTTCACACTGATGCGTGGTATATAATTCAATATTTGGTGATGAAAAAGTATGCGGAAACAACTCAAGGTACCACATCCATTTTCCACTGATTGCATAGTTAAGCTATTTAGAGTCAAAACACGCGAGAACATTCGATTTGTTGAATCGTCTGCACCGAGTGAAATTTCAAAATATTTACGGAGGAAATGCGCAGAATGGAAATGAGCACCTGGAGATTACAGTCGGGAATTTTCGAAGTGGACTAGTGATGCACGAACCACAAAGGTTTCATTGCACCCGGGCATGCCAAGGTGCAGTGATCTCAAGTCGTCAGCCTGCAGTTATCTGATGCAGGGGACTTTCAATGGTAGATCAAAGCGCAAGCACATAGCAGAACATTGTAGTCATTAGTGAACGAATGGCATGAACCGGCTTCGCGCAAACTCACTGCGACCTGGAAATGGAAGGCCAACTCTCTCTCCACAACCAAATACGACTTAGTGAATCCACAACTGCGTCGCAATAAAGTCTGTTATCTCCAAAGTTTTGCTAAAAGTCAGTTCCCTAATCAGGCGACCGAGGAGTACGCGACTGTACTTCAATAATCAGATCGTAATAGTTAGTGTAGTTTGTGGTATAATTAGCCGAGTATAATAAACCACGTGCAGAGTTCTCGTCCGTGGGAGGTGAATGCGATTCAATGTACGGAAAAACAAACACAATCAGAACTCTAATTGTACTAGTCACAGTGATCAAATGTGGCAGATTTCAGTGAGCTGCATCCTCTTCAAACCAACTTCAAAAGGTCGCGATGCAAGCTGTCAAGTGCATCCGCAGCTTAGATGTGTTACTGAGTCACTCAATGATCACATGCAGCGTAAACGACTTTCAATAGCTGTCAATCTCAAACCCTGGGGCAGACAGTTCTGTCAGTACATCGGGGAAGGGAAGGCCTTGAGTAACACGAAAATTACCTGTTAAAAGTTCGAATGCAATCGAGAATTCCGGAATCTATTGAATCGCGTGGTTTGACGATGACTGCAATACAGCTGGATGACCATAGTCATGGTAAACATACTGCTCTCAAGGATTGTAAACGTTCATCCATTCGCATTTGGATGAGTATTCCAGTAGAATGAGTGAACTTCCATTATCAAGAAAAACTACTGGGATGCGTTTGGACCGCTCATCAAAATCAAGAGTTAGAGAGAATTTTATCTTTTGTAGGAATGTAACACATAAAAGTTAACAATAATACATTGGAATGCAACAAAAAAGATTTCGATCCATTGAGCAGATTCCTACCGATATACCGTGACGGATGCCGTACGGCATGATGCAGCTAGTACGACAAGCAAAATCATCACCAACTGATCACACTCCCTTCATCTGTCTCTCTGGTGACTGAATCACAGCTTGTGTTTATTAGGTTTTCGGGTAACCGATGAGATCTCAGGTGCCCGGTCTCTCGCGCGAATGTGAACACAACATTACGAAACGCGATCTATTAGGGGCGATGAGGAGAACGGAATTCTCAGCATATGTAAGTGCTCTGGAATCAGCCGGAGATAGCACTTCGGCTTGGTGACGAAACGTGAGCCAATGTGTTACCGAGTTAGACAAACAGGGAAATTCCAAATCTGGTCAACCCGGCTAAGAGAACCAATTCTTTTATTTTAATGCGCGCAGATAGTTCTATGATGTGGAACATCATAATTGACCCAGCGGGGCAAAGATACATACGCATGCGCACAAACACACACACACAGAGGATCAAAGGCAGACGTATGTCGAGGAACAGTTGGCCTACTTGCCGAGATGCACATTTCGTAGAGGAATGTTTTATTTTGTGAACCGCTCGATTTATGGATACGATATTGTGCGTAGAGTTATATTCCTTTCTCTCTCTCTGTGGCTTCGGAAAGCCCCAGAACGTCAGACGAACTTGGGGGAGCGAACTTCCACTCCGCTGTACAAGGAGGAAAAACACTTCTGTTGCGTGATAACCAACAATTTGATCGAAAATATGTCATCGCGATTAAAATTGGACATGTGGTTAAATAAATTCAATATTTCATGATCTCTGTGGGAACCAATGGATGGACAGATTTCAGATCATAGCCTTGATCATAGCAACAGTAGTTTTGGTAATACTAAACGAACTCCAGGACTTGGGATCGAGATGTTGCACATTTAATGTGGTCTTTTTAATTCACTCAATGTCCGGTAAAAGTAAGGAGACAGATCGATAGATGGACGCACGCACACGAATATATCCATGCCTATGGTAAGATCATAAGTGGAAAGAGAGATTCGACCGGTGCAAAAGGTGGAAGGGGGTCTGAGAGGGAGGATTAGCGCAGTAAGGGAAGGTTGATATACACTGTATTCATGGTCATGTCCAACTAGACCGAGACAAAGTCGTACCAATAACGCCGTTGTCATGACTACCTCGTGTAAAATTGGCGAATTGATGAGTCATCAGTGGAGCTATCCATGGCCTATTTAACATGCACGCACACAACTTCGCGAGCGCAAGTAGACAATCGGATTGGACGAATCGTGAGATAAAAATAATCGGTTTGTGTCGATATGGTATGAATACATACATGCCAGCGGAGTGATGGGCAAAACAGGATTATGAGGGCAAATATACTATTTTGATAATTTCGGAGGGGACAGATTATGTTTGTGCAATTTCCATTAAGAAACACTAAAAGAAGAACAAAGTAATACAAAAATTGAATAGACAGATTGGGAGAGTTTAGGTTTCGGGTTTCACAACGATTCACCATGCACCTTTGGGCGACGGTTTTGGTTACTGTCTTTTGGCTGCCTATGTGGATAAAAGAGCGAAGGGAAAATTTTAATGTTGAGAACAGGGTCCAACAGAAGATAGAGAGTTGTGATAAACTAAGGTTGCAAAGATAATGGGTAGGTGCACGAGCGTCACTGTTTGCGACACTCATATTATTCAGTGTCTCTGACCCCCGGTTATCATGATCCCGAAGTTCCCATCCCGGATGCCGAACGCGACCTATATGACCAAGTCTCCAGGTTTGGAAAAGTATTCGTATCGAACTGATTCAACAAATCAGAGCAGGCAAGAATAGGCTATACAGAAACCCACTCAACCGGCAACGCTATGGAAGTAATTGATCGACCTGCAAGATGTACACAGGTGTGAGTAAAATGGCACTCGACATGGGAAGCGATACAAATCTAAACCAAATTGGAGTATCATGAAACGTAACAGTATGAACTAACGGGGAATCCGAATGACCAGCTTCGATCAATAATATGGAGAAAACGACTTTGAGCATCGAACTGTGAAACAGAGATTCTACGAGATTTCCGGAAAATCAACCGAACACGTGTAAATCTGTCATGCTAATACAAGTCTACTTCATAGGCGTGAGAAAATTGATGCTCGACACAACACGAAATTGATCGAAGGTTAGACTCGCTCTGAAGCCCGGAGGCGAAACTATCCTGTGAGCATAAAGCCAGCAGAGATGTATGCCACCAGGAGCGTCTCCAGGTGTACCATAAATCGATGGGCAACGTTTCACCGAATAAACGGCTCTGGGTGAAGACCGAGGTCAAACAGTAGGAAATGATTCCTTTCGTCGATCGACGACAGCCGCTATATTTCAAACGGTCGCAATAGAGCAATATTATCCTGATTACACCAACTTTCAAGGCAAACGCAAGCTACTGAGCGCAGTTGTAGATATTTTCGAAATATTCCCGGGTGATTTTCTTTTTCACTTTACTTCCCTTTACTGGATATACAAAGATAAAATTTTCAAGGAGGAAGCGGCCAATCAAAGTGCTGTCATTCAACACAATAAGGGAAGCCAGGCGGTGGCGGTCAGATTTGAACACATCCCCGGGGTGAAAATTTGGTGACGATACTACCGGCTCTCTCTCTCTCTGCAAGGTACATCAGGTAATGAGATCGAATATGCGTGGTCTATTATTCGTCCGAAAACACCATTCGTTGGTTCCCCAATGAAAAAGAGGCTGTAAATCTAACCCAATGATCACTTGGACTATTGTGCCTTCAGTGCATTCCTGCACACAAACACTACCTAATACAGCGCTGATTTCAGTTTCAGTTTGTACAAACATTTTCCATGCCATTACAGGCGCCGGTTTTGGTTGCTGTCCTTTGGCTGCCCATTTAGACAAAGAATGGGAGAAAAACAGGAAAGTTGAAAGTAGAGTCGAAAAGAAAATTGGGTATTTCAACTTTGTACAGAAAATGACAAGAGGCATGAACGCCATTGTTGACGACACTCAGCCGTATCACTCAATGTATCTAACCATCGGTTACGATCGACCCGAGATCCCCAGCCAGAGAGCCCAAAGGGATCTGCGTGACCTAGACTCCTAGTTAAGGTTTTTATACCCTCGTGCCCGGTCTTAGCTTGACCACCCTT